AGTTCTCTTTCAAGAATATTACATGAGAAATTGTTTTATCATCATAGAGTTGTTTAAAACATCCTAATGTCTGACTGCAATCATTAGCATTTATTTAGTTAGAAAAAAACAGAATACCAAAGAAAGATTGGCCATGCAGAGTGACACTGAGCCATGTTACTAGAAACAAAGACAAGCTGTTAAATCCTCTCCCGGAGTAAAGTGCCCTCTGTTGAAATACAGGCATATGGATTTTTGTAGCCAACATCGCCCCCGTATCCTGTGTAGCGCAGCCAGAAGAAACAGACATTCGGACAAGACGGACAGTCTGTTGCATAGAAGTGACTCATAAGCACGCTCACAGATTGCCCTCGGACATGTAAGGGTTTCAGCATCTAACGGGATTAGGCCTCTTTCATCCCTCCTTCCCCATCCCACTGACACCAACAGCAAATTCCCACCAGCTTCAAAAAGGGAGAATTTGATCAGTAGCCAGTAAGTTACAACTATTGCAGCTTTTGTTTCTATGTTGTGTAAAGGCTTTTTTTGGTTGTTCGTTTTTTGTTTGGGTTTTGTTTGTTTGTTTTTTAAGATGGAAGACTGGTAACAAAGGCTCCTATTATATTGTGAAATACTAGTCTTAGGCAGGAATTCAATGAATAACAAAATCAGAAGCCCAGATCAAAGAGTCACAACAAAGGGTAAGCAAAACATATAAACGTCATGATCAATCCTCTTATTCCAAGCATATGCTTTGTAAAGCACAATAAACAGTTTAAGTTCTCCCCAAAACCTCAAGCAATCAAAAACACCCAAGCAGCAACTGTCATTTATTCATATTGACCAAGAAAGTGGAAGCATCTTAGCCCGTATAGTAGAAAATGAAGCTCAAAGCAGGTGATAAAAAACAAAATTCACGGACATTGATAGCCTCAGCTGACCTCCTGGACCTAACCAGGAGACACCAACATCCCTTTTTGCCTTGAGCTCTGTTTGAGCCTCAGCACTCTATTCTCCACCTAAGGGTTTCAAATGAACTCTATACAACTTGAGCTTGAATACGATTTCAGGGGGGGTTGTGTGTGTGGCTTGTTTTTTTTTTTAAACTCCACAAAAGTGAGCAGTTAATTTTACAAGCATTCCCTGGGAAAACATGCAATTAAAATTACAACATAACACAGGCAACTTCCACCACTGAATGCCAGTTCAGCTGTCAGCAAGCAAACAGCTAACAAAGAAAATATCAGGGTTTCAGATCACGACACCTGGGAGGACTGCTGTAACTATGTATTTGAAATTCTTCATTTTCATAGACAGCAATATTATAATTTTTGCACAATTATGTTCATTATACATAAATTACATTATTAAACAAAGCCATAGGATTAGTCTCCCTTTGAAAAGAATCTTCCTCCTGTGCCCTAGGAATTTTCTGGGGAAAAGGCGGCATATTTTTATAATCCCTATCCTCTCCCCAGCAGTATCTGCCTCATAGATGGCCACAAGGACCACCAAGCATTGAGGGCCAGCAGGAAGAAAGCCATCGGCACTTGCAGACAAGGGATGATCACCCTCATGACGGAGGAAGCAGGTAACAATCAACCAGTCCATTTAAAACAAGCCATTAGAAAGAAGTAGTATCCAGAGTATTTGTTAAAATCTGGACCTAATCTATGGGAAGCAGTAATTCCAAAAAAATAAGTGAAGTACCTCCAGCTGAAGTGCTAGTCATGGGGCATACCCAACTGTAACCAATTTTTGAAAATAACCCAGACACACAGCTGAAATAAACCTCAACATAAAGAACAAAAGCAAAACAATAAAATGAGATAAATATAGGAACAGGCCATTGGAGAAAATGCTTCTCTAAGTGTCCAGCTGATCTTTAAAATTTAATCACAAGTCACCAGTCAATGCTTCCTTATGTATTTTATCAAGAGACACTTCCCTGTAAAGCCCTCTAGTACATACTGGTCATGTATTTGCAGGGGCCACTTAAACAAATCAATTAGTCATTAGTACCTGGTGTGCATCCAGCTTCATGAAATAGTCTTTTCATCCATTATCACAGATCAGAAACAATCCCTGCAGAGTAAATGATGTAGTATCTTAAAAGTCATGCTGTGTTAACAATTGAGATCAGGGTTATAGAGATCATTTTAGAGCTTTACATAATTTTCAGTTTAACAATAAAAATCTACATGTGGCTTGCTAGGACAAGTTTGTTTGGTTAACTCCCAGGTATTAATGAGCTTACATTCATTTTATGGGATTAAAGTCTCTTTGAAGTTTTTAGAAAGCTACCCAAGGTCATAACTAGTTAGGAAGGTTACCAGCTTTCTTAAAGGACTGAAGAGACTACGAAACCAGCACAAGACTGTGACTGGTACCCTGTGCTCCTGACTCCTCACACATATTTTATGTTTTTCCTCCAGCTAAGTATATGTTGACAAGGTTAACAGCTCTATTAACTACAAAAACAAGCAGCTACAAGAACAAGGGTGGAAAGGACAGGAAATAAAAGTTATACCATACAGATAATCCTAGCAAATCCAGAACCAGGTTAAATAAAGGAGCTCAGGAACCAAGCCTAGAGCCTGAAGTTATTCTATATGCAAAGCATGTTGGGCTAGGCAGTACAGAACAGCAATCCCAAACATTCATTTTGCAAAACAGGGCAAAGCCAGCAGCTAACTGATTCAAAGCGCAAACACACTCACCTTCTCCAACACTTAGTTGTTCAAATCATTGCTGTAGACAGAAAGCATCAGCTACTCAGAACACAGACACTACAGCCTTCTTCTCCTGATGGTGGGTGCTTTCACAAATTGATTAAAATAACTGAGCAGGCTTCACTTTCACAAGGGCTGGTGGGATCAAAATCACCCACTTAATACATTCACCAACTTAACTACAGGAGTACTGACCTAGACCTAGAAAAGAAAGAGAGCTTTGACACCCTTTGCGTCCCTGCCCATCAGTGCGGACAGAGCAGATGTGTCTTACTCTAGGCTCTTTCAAAGCTAGGAAAGTGGAAGAGGACAAGTGCTACCTTACACACCATCTTTTTTTGAACGCCTTTAAAAAGCTCACAGATTTACCATGTACATAAGAGATAAGTGATGATAATTTCCCTGCATATTAGAGTACCGCCTGTACAACACATTCTAATGCATGCCATAACAGTAATGCCACCTACTGCAATTAGATCATGGCTTCTGAAATTTGTTCATTATACCATTTATACCGTTAGGAAAGCACCACTGGATATATTTTCTCTATCTTTCCTCTCACACAAGAGTCTGTTGTCATCTCTTCAAATTTAAGACAGACAAATATTTAAGCATCAGGTATGTTTATTAGACAATTCAAAATGTCAGTTTTATTAGACAATTCAAAAAAAAGTAGAATATGTTTTAATTTCCTTATTTTAACACTTCATCATCTCAAGAACCTGGCAATCACAGACAATAAAAACAGTGTTTACAAGTTACAAAAGCTGCACTGCATTCCGAATTACAGAAAACATGATTAGTTGACAAGGAAGCTTTATAAAATGCAGTAACAGATTTTCAGCTCATTATGAAACACAGTGATATTGCCATGTATATGCATTCACAAAATCGGCATAGTATCAAAATTAAGGCACTTTGGATACATAGTATTCACTTCCATATAGGAAAACAATTTCAGAGAAACCACAGTAAACTGCTACTGGTAGATAGTGACAGTATGCCCAGTACTAGCCATCAAAGCACCAGGTTTGCGTGAATGAGCGAAGCTCTTGATAAAAAAAAGCACTGAAAATTTTTTTTACCCTGACTATTTGATGTCGAAGACTCATTCAAGCAAATTTACTTTTAAAGAGGTCAAGGAAGATTTCCATGATTTAAACACTGTTAAACACAATTTTTAAAGTTAAACATTTTAAAATAAAAGTCCATGGTGAAAACTGCATGAAGTTCACATTAAGGATTAGTGCATGTAGCTGCTTCAAAAGAAGAAAAAAACCCAAAACCCAACATTGACTTTCTCCACTTAACATTTACCTGCCGTTTTATGAGGTACCCACCAACCACAGTAATATCAAAGGAAATACAGTACAATAGAGTAATTTGTCAAAGAAGCAACCTCTCTTCAAGACGGCACGTTCTAGTCCTCCTTTTCATTTCAGATTGTCATATGCTTACTGCCTGTAACCCAGTCTGCCACAAGCACACTATTTACTAACAGATCCACAACAGGTCCTACAAATAATGACTCTCTAATTTAAAGAAAAATTTATCTCAGCTGTTTTTCACACCACTGTCTTGAAAGCAAAATTTCATCAGTAATTGAGTAGTTTTGTAGACTTCTATTGCAGGCTTCGGTACATAAATTCTAAAGAGTAAAAACACTGAAGAATCTAACCCTGCAAGCACACAAGTATTTTAACAGGAGTTAAATAGACTTGTTAGCAACAACATTAGGCATTTACAGGATCAGGCACTTCAATTGTGTATTATTGTTGCTGTTTTACTTCACTAATTTGAGTGAAAAATGCCATTGTATAGGAAAAACAGCAACTTCTTCACGAATCGAAGCAGGACTTGTATGTGGAAACTATGCTTACTCTATACAACTTGGCTCATAATTAGAACAAATAATTTCCATGCTAGTACTTCACAAATCAGTAGGGTCCAACAGATTTCTTCTAAAGTCAGGAAGAAAACACTGTAAGAGAACTTGTTTATGCACAGCAACTTCCCAAGTATATTCCTGCTATATCTTCGATGAAGCATTAACATCCAGAAAAAACTGTCCTCTGATGTTAATTCTTCTTTTACGGGAATGACAGCCTAGACACACTTCCGTATAAAATACAGCTAGTCAGCATTCCTCAGCACTGAACTGTTCACCTTATACTCATCTGAAGTTTAAATTTAAAACATGTAATTAACCTTCCTGAAACCTGATATTCCATTCCTACTTAAGTGATACTACATTACTTGGACCACAGAATGATTTCTGTACCCTTCTTCTAGGGCATTGAGCATGAATAAAAGACCCAGTATCAGAGCGCTCATGTAACATTCATTAATTTTTTAACCTTTGCTGTGCACAACAATCCACAGGACACCATTTTGCAGTACACAAGTATTAAGAGAGCTTGGAGAGCAGCGTAAGTAGTTCCATACAACTTAGGGGGCAAAAAGCACTGCGCTGGTGAGGCTGCCACATCTTGTAGGGTGGATTCTATCACCTCCTTACACAACATCCCTCATAGCTACACAGGGTGATGGCAGTCTGCTGTGAACTAACTCACACAACTATAAAACACTCATTTGCAAGCTACTAGTATAAAGAACTTGCAATAGTAAAACATACCCTCTGCAGAAATTCAGCTTCTCACTTCACAGAGCAGAAACCTCTTTGCGTCCATTGTTCTATGAAAGAATAAACTAAGGTGTCTCTTCCTTTACCCCTTTGCAGATTACTGAAATGTCTTCTAGAGTTAGGGCTGTATCAGAATGCATTTTTACAAAACTGCATGCCTCCACAATTTGCAGGATTCAGCAAGTCAAAACAGTATTAAAGTTTACTTTTGTAAGTGTGATTATGTGAATGTTTACTAGGATAATGCTATTAAAAATATAGTGTTTTAATATAACAATCTTTTCTTACAGACAAAAAAATAGTAGTTGAATAAGTATGTTTTAAAAGCAATGAGAACTGAGGAGCTAAGAAGTCCTACCCAGCAGAACACTCCTTTGCAATTCAGGCATTTCACACACAAGAACACAGAGCTGAATACTACATTGTGATTGTAAGTGTCCTGAGCATAGTTTCTTCTTTTGTGAACCTTCATAAGAGAAGTAAAGTTGGCTCTAAGCATTAAAGAGGCATTAAAATATATTATTCCCCAAATATATCCACAGTTGTTAAGTTGAATAGGGACAAAGCGTGAGTATCTTTGGAGGGGAATTATTTTTTAAATGAACACCATAAGTAGAAGGAAGGATTTTTAACCATTCATTAGGGAGTAAAAGAGTTGGCATAACCTATGTTTGGTTTTTACGTTATCAAGAAAAAACACTAAAATTAAATTACTCAAATGAAAAGCAAGTACTCATTCATCCCTAATCAAAGCAGAGAGATCGATCAAGTTGAACAATACCAAGTAGGATAATCTTTGTATTAGCCTGTTTTGATTACATGTTTAAAAAAACCAAAAGGCATGCTGACCAATATCATATGTATCAACGATACTACTGTGATTAAAACAAAAGTTAATGCATATATAGTGAAAAAATGAGTAAAACAGCTTATGTTTTGTAAACTTATTCAGGGACAAATTTGCAACAGTGATTCCAGCTTTTACTGAATACACTAAGACAGCTGTCACAAAGGCCTTTTCCCTTTGGCTGAAATGCATTTTAAAAAAGCATGTTACGATCTGATAATGTAACACTACATGCATATGCACATACATACATCTCAGCGTGCACACACACGTTATAATATATACACATATACACACACAGAGTATACATATGGTGATACATGCTGTAAAATATTACCAGCATCAGAGCGATGTCCTACCACTGTTCCCAGCTAAAGTCATCTCCTCTACCAAACACAAGAAAAAAGCCTAAAATAGTAAGGAAAATGACTGCATTGCCAGCCAGCACCAGACCACAGGCTCCCCATTTGATCTGAAATGCAAGGAAATGAAACAATCAAAGCAGTTCTTATAAGATAGGTTCAGGCCAGTTATTTATATGCATTAGATAAACTAAACGAAATACTACAGAAAGCTGCTAAAAGCATAAAGGAAAAAGACAAACAATAAATAATTCAATTCATGTGACTAATTATTCAATTAGCAACCACTCATATTATTAATACAAGACTTCAACAGACAGGCTAATAATGCTATGTTTTAGAACAAAATAATTACCTTGCCATACAAGTCACTAAACCATACGTAAGTCATCGAAAAAAAATCTGGTGAAACTAGTGCTCTCCTTTAATTGCTATGCAACAAAATAAAAGATAGCCTTTCAAATAAATGCCAGTAACAAACATGGAAAACAGTACGTGGTCTTAAAGGTAAATAGCTTGCTTTAACGATCTGCCCCACTAAGTTTACTCAAATAAGTGACATTTACTCTTAAAAGATACAGCTATGCATTAGAGTTCCCCCTCGTGGTCACTTCTGGTTCTGCCTACTGTCAGGTCCACAACTTAAAACCAAAAACGCAGTGTCAAGGAAATTGTGCATTACAAATAAATTAAAAACTAAGCACGCAAGTTTTAAGCAAAACTGAAAGACTGAAGGGGAAAAGCAACACAACACATAAAGATGCAATTGGGTGACAGGACGAAAGAGTTCTCTGCCTTGCAAAACAAATGTGACAAAAATCTCACCACTGAAGAGCAGTTCAGAAAGCAAAGACAAAAGAAGCTAGCAGGATTTCCTCAGACTTTGAAAGGACAAAGCATGAGCTTGGGAAATGCTTTGGAAACCAGAAGGGGACTCTGGAAGTTTGGCCTTTTATCTTTTAACTGATAATGCACTCCAGTCACCAAGTTTTCAGCATCCTAAATGGAGAAAGCAGACATTCTGAAATAAAAATAAGGAAGGTGGCGCAAGAAGCGGTGCAAAAGTTGATGAGACAGAGAGGCACGAGATGTAGGAGGAGTTAATATCTTGTATTGGACCAAAACAACTCTGGAGAAAAACCCAGCTAAAAACTTTTCAGTCATGCAAGTCCTTTGTTCAGGTCAAAAAGCAGCATTGACAGACAAAATTTCAGCAGAGTGATTCCTTCAATCAGAATCTAGAAACATCACAATAATGAACTTAAAGGCAGGATTTACAAACAGCAACAGTACCCTTACAGATTACATTCAGTAACTGGTACCTTATAATTAAAATTAGCAAGCAGAACTTACCGCTTCAACCCGTGCAAGGATGATAGGAAATCCAAAGGCAGAAACAACAATTCCAGTTGTGAAGAAATATGCCAGTTCCCTGCAGGCACTGCTAGCTGCATCACTGTCATCACTTACTCTTTTTGCAATGAAGTGGGGAATGGGGCAGATGAAGTAAAATATTAAGACAAACAGAGGCCAGTATACACTGGGGAGGGGGGAAAAGGAAATACATAATCAGTTTACATAGATGCTTCAATAAAAAGTACCTTCTTTTTAGAAAAAGTAATTGCAGTAGCTGTAATCCTACTTTATGGTTTGAAAAGTGGGTTACGTGATTTAACCACAAGCTTTCACCCAAAGGGGCAATCCTACCTTGTCTTCCCTGCATATTAGCACAAACACTCATATGGGCTCGCGTAGAGCAGGACCCACGCTCTCACACGAGCAAGGGTTAATTGATTTTACATTTGCATCACCTTGCTGATTCAGCTCACACCACCGCCTCACAAAAACGACAGTCACCGCACAAGGAACAGGAAATGCTGGCAAGCGGGACAGGAACCAAGAGCTTTCCCAAATTAGAGGGATCCGGGAGAATAAACAAGCCGACTGCGAAGGCACACCCTTGCACTCTCATCTCTTTGTGAGAGTTCTCGTTAGCTTCGCCTGGATTTTTAAGTGTAAGAGACATCCCAGGTGGAGTCTTGTGGTAGGAGGGTTGTTTAAAGAAACAGGGAAGTAAGGGAAAGAACTGTGCGAGGTTAAAAACGGCTGCTTAGCAAGATGGCACCGCTTTTCCTGAGGAAGTATTGAGCTGTTTTCAGTCTTTTTTTTAATGGAAGCACAAGTGCTGGCTAAGGAGGTGGTATTTAGTCACAACAAACTGCCACGTGCCAAGAGCCAGAAAGGGGGCGACTGCTGTAAGATAACTAGAGCCAAACAGCTCAATTAAGTGAGATTAACACCTCAATCGACAGAGATTAAGAAGGGGAAGTTCTGGAAACGAAGCCGGCCCCCTCACCCGTAGTACTCCAGGGCGCAGCCCAGCATGAGGAACGTCAGCCCGATGGCTCCGCTGAAGGACAGCGCCACGAGAGCTGCAACGGCACAAGGCAGGCGGTGAGGCGGCAGCCGCCTCACCGGTTACCGGTTATCCCTCCCCGCCAAGCCCGCCCGTCCCCGTCCCGTCCCCCCCCCCGCGCCTTGCTGAGGCGATGCCTGGGGAAGTTGGAAGCGCAACCCGGTCGTTCTGCTCCCTCAGAGGGAGAGGGG